TATATATATATATATATATATATATATTTATAATATACATGATAGGATGAAAATTTTAATTAAAAATGTATTAAGATTTAAATTACAAAGATAATATGAAATCAAATGTGAAAATTTACCTAAAATCACATCAATTGATATTTTAATATAATTTTAGATAATTTAATGTGAAACCAGACACACTTAATAAATTTGATATAAATTAGGGTTGGACAAACTTCTCTATGGTTGACACTCTAAGTTGTTTAAGTTTAGTGGAAAAAGAAATCAATTATAATTTTTTTAAAACCAAATTCAATTATAGTTAAAACACGTCAACCTTAATAATTCAAAAATAGATAAATAAATCACACATTAAAAATACTTAAAATAAAAAGCACTACTTAGTTAGATGCTTAGATAAAAACACACTCGAATAAGATTTTATTTTAAATCTATTTTAAATTACTATTAAAAAAATCTAATAAATGTATAACAAATTTTACAACTAAAGGTAAGAAAAGGAGAGGAAAAAAATAAAGGTGTGAGCTGTAAAAAATGTTGTGATGAAAAATAATAATTAAATTAATAACCTATAAAAAAGATGTGTTGCTAAAAATTATATGTGAGAATGCAAAATAAAAATGACAAGTCAAATTCAAATGAAATATGACAAGTATAATACAAATGTAAAGACACAAGATATGAATGGCTAAAACAAAGATAAACAAAGATGAGTAAATGTATGAATCACTAAAATAAAGATAAAGAGTTCGTTTAAATACAAATTCAAAAAAATTTAGAATTTATTTACTGAAAATAAAATATTAATAAATAAATTTACAAAAATACTTATAACTTGTATCCTAACCTAATAAAAAAAAAATGTATAAATAAATAATCATACAATTTTTTTTTAAAATAGAGAAAACACAAATAAGAGAGAAAAAAAGAAGATAATTAATGAAAAGAGAGTAAAACTTATGAAAAAATGAAACAAATATTTTAATAAAAATAATAAATATAAAAAGTTGGAAATAAATCATTATTCACAAATATTATGATAAACATTTTAAAATATGTGGGTGGTCATGACCCCCAACAGCCACCCCACCTCTTTCGTCCTAAAAGATGATACTTATAGTGTAATATTTATATCTCTAAAAAGAACAATTTACTCTTATTAATTTAATATTTTGTTATTAACGGATTATATTAAACTTCATAATATAATCATGATATTTTGACAATGTTTGCTTTATTAATTAGAATAATTTAATTTGATTTAAATCAAAATATTTCTCACAATATTGTTACTCAAATGATTATATATATATATATATATATATATTAACGCTCAAATGATTATATCTTCTAATTAGATTTAGTTAATTAAATGGTAGTGCTTAAATAGGCTTATCAAATTAGACTACTAAAAAAAGAATATATATTAATAACTAATATAATCATAATTTTCAAAAATAAAATAATTTTTTATTATTAATATTTTAAGATACGAAGAAAAAAAAACATATTAAATATGAGAGTGATCTAAACGAGTTATCGACGGTGGTTACTCCATGAAAAAAAAAAAAAAAGTGAATTTCCCCACCACTTCTATCACGTGCAAAAACAAACCTACCAAAATATGACCATAAAAGAAGAGGGAATAAGACGAAGAACAGTGCGGGAATTAAAGAAGAAAAAAAAAAATCGTAACAGTTACACTTTTTAAAAATCAAAATCAAAATTAAAAATAATGATGTGATGACGTTTTGTGATTGGAGGGACAAGGTTTGGGGACAGGAGTTGGAGATAGAAGATTTTGATCCGCACATATGGAGTCTGTGCTCGTTTTCTTTCAAAGCGTTCCCAGCAATATATGGTCGTCGTGCTCCCACGTGGAACCGTCAAGTGGTCCAATATGACACGGGCTTTGATTTTGAAATCACGTTTACAATATTTCCGTCCTTTCCAACAACACAAAGTATGTATGTTCATCGTGCTTGTACAATAAAGAAATCAGAAATCACGTTTAAATTTTGGCGGGTGTGAGAAGAAAACATGGAATTCTACTCCGTTTATAAGAGAGTGGCACTAGCTAGCTACTGTGACTCACACCGAAAACAAAATACATTACTAAATAATAACATGGCCTCGTCACCTTCTTCTCTAACATTTACAGTGCGGAGGTGTCAAATCGAGTTGGTGGCTCCTGCTATACCCACTCCTCACGAACTTAAACTACTATCCGACATAGATGATCAAAATGGCTTCTGGATGCAGATTCCGATGATACAAATTTACCGTAACGAACCATCAATGGTAGAGAAAGATCCGGTTGAAGTGATTCGGAAGGCTCTTGCGCAAACACTTGTGTTCTATTACCCACTTGCGGGTAGGCTTAGGGAGGGTTCTGGCCGCAAATTGATGGTGGATTGTACAGGTGAGGGCGTCTTGTTCATTGAAGCTGACGCAGACATAACACTTGATGAGTTTGGCGACGCTCTCCAACTTCCATTCTCGTACTTACAAGAACTACTATATGAGGTTCCAGGCTCTCAAGACGTTACTAACACTCCCCTTCTACTCATACAGGTCCATATACATGTTATACACATACTCATACACTTAATATAACTCATTTATCCACTTCTTTAATTTGTAGAAAGCAAAACTCGTCCAAAAGCTACATTAAGATTTTTGAAAATTAACATTGGTAAACTGCATAACAAAATACTTTATGTTTTTATTTGGATGAAATTTTTTAAAACTTTAAATTATTTTTATTTTTATTTTTATCATTTATTAAATATTTTTTTGAATAAATTAATTCAAATTTCTTGATTTAGATAAGGTAATATAATTTATACCATAAAAAATTGATTTTAAATAAATAAATAAAAAAATATATTATAAAAATTTAAATTTAAATTTATAAAAATAAATTGATCAAATTTTAAATTTTTAATAATTTAAATAAATGATCAATATTAATAAAATAATGATAATTATTTATATAAAATAATATTAAATAAATATAATATTATAATTTTATAACACTAAAAATTAATAAATACATTTTTTCATTAAAAATATTTTAATTTTTAAATTTAAAATTCTTTAGAAATTTTTCATCCAAATAAAGCATTTAAAATTGTTCAAAAAAAAAAAATAAATTACTCCCTTAAAATCTTTCATCCACACTAAAATATTGAAATTATATTAATTTCATGGAGCTATATTTTTATATGATAAATATTAACAATCTATTCTCTAATATTAAAAATTATTATGTGATTTTGAACTATTTAATAAGTTTTTCCTTTAATTTACTTTTTTATACATACTTTCTATTATATATTGTGATTAGTAAAAACTTATATTAAAAATCATAAATTATTAGGATTCTTACTTCTCATTTAAGAGTCCCTTTCTTAATTTTACAATGTTCAAATGATCAATAATAATAGAATTTGTACTTTAATAACTTGGGAGTACTATCGTTCTTTGTGAATTTCTTGATGTTGAAAATCAATCAAACGACAGGTTACACGACTTAAGTGTGGTGATTTCATCTTGGGCTTGCGGTTCAACCACATCATTCAGGACGCAGGTGGTCTATTACAGTTCATGAGCGCGTGGGCCGAAATGGCTCGAGGTGCAACCAAACCTTCCATTTCACCTCTGTGGCGTAGAGAACTCCTAATGGCAAGAGACCCACCTCGCATCACATGCAACCATCGCGAATACGACCAAGTCCCACACACCAACAAACGAACCTTCTCTTCCTACGAGGACGACATGGTTCATCGATCATTCTTCTTTGGACCAGCCGAAATAGCTACCCTCCGTCGCTTGCTACCACCCCACCTCTGTCGATGCTCCACGTTTGATGTCATCACAGCATGCTTCTGGCGCTGTCGCACAAAAGCTTTGCAAATAGAGGCACACGAGGATGTTCGCATGATGTGCACGATCAACGCACGTGCTAGGTTCAATCCTCCGTTACCCGTTGGTTATTACGGCAATGTTGTTGCGTACCCCGCAGCAGTCACCACTGCAGGGAAGCTTTGTGGAAATCCATTCGGGTATGCTGTGGAGTTAATAAATAAATTGAAAGGTGAGGTGACAGAAGAGTACATGCATTCCGTGGCAGATTTAATGGTCATTAAGGGACGATGCTCATTTACACGTGTAAGGTCTTGTATTATTTCGGATTTGACACGTGCTAGGTTTAGAGAAGTGGATTTTGGATGGGGTCATGCTGTGTATGGTGGAGTGGCCCAAGGTGGAGCTGGGTCCTTTCTTGCAGCAACCTATCATGTCCCGTATAAGAATGCAAAAGGAGAAGAAGGTATCGTATTGCCAATTTGGTTGCCCTCTCAAGCTATGGATAGGTTTGTGAAAGAGTTGAATGACATGCTTCGGAACCAAAACCAACCAAAAACTAGTAGCCCTTGTTTTATCACCGCTACCTTATAGTTTGAAGCTTATGAAAGTCTTTATATAGTGGAAGGGTGAAGAAAATTTAGTTTGTTATCAGAAAAAAGTAGTTGTCAAGAGCATTATATTTTGTTTGCTTTTATTTGTTTACTTTAAATTATTATATTTCTATTCATAATTACAAATATCGTTTTTTTATTTATTTATGATGTAACTATTTTCACAATTGTTTAAGGTTTCCCTCACCCTATTTGAGCTCAACTTTTATCATTAAGGAGAATAAAACTGTCTTATCTACTCAATTAATCAATGATAACGTCTTAGAAAGATTTCACAAACATAATTAAAATAATAATAATGAAGATTGAGTGAAAAAGGATTTAAAAAACCATAAATTTAGGAGTGCAAAAATAGAGTTTAAAGAATAATAAAGATGATATTTTGTGAGAAGTCTTTTTTTAAATGTCTAATTGTCTTTAAAATCATTTATTGTCTCTACAAATTAACAAATTTTTTTAATGTGTTTTATTCTCACTTACATACATATATTTTAATATTTTTTTTAAATCACTCATTCCTAAATTACTTCAAATTAAACACATGTAATTATGAAATTTTTAAGTAATAATTTACTGAAAATAGATATATCTTATTAATATAGATAATATTAATTAACTTTTTTAAATTATCCTCAACTATATAGTTTCATACTTATAAAATCTCTAAATCTCTCTTATTTTAATGTGTTTGAATGCATGGTAATATTGTCTAGCTTAGAATATGAATTTTACTTTTATTGTGGCAGTAACTAACGGTATGAATGCTATTTTGCTGGCTAGAGATAGTTACATCCATGGTTATGACTTATGACTGTTATCCAATCTATAGAGAGGTGAAGGACCACCTTTCTTGGCTAGAAAATGTGTTGTGGTCTCATGTCCAGAGAGAGAAGGTAGTAGTGACTAATTTCTTTGTAAAACATGATGCTGAAATAATGCCCCCATTTTTTTTTTTTTAGTTCATTTCAATGTGAATGTTGCTTTTATTAGTTGATAAAGTCTAAGGTGAATCACTTTGATAGGTGGTCCACCACATAAATAAGAATTAATAATTATTAAAACAATTTATATTTAAATTATTAAGGGTATCTCCAATGGAAGTAATTTATTTGAGTTATTTCATGCATTGAAAAATAAAAAAAATGATCTCTAGTGTGCCATGTCAGTATTAAGCAACTCAAACACAAATTTACTATAATGGTAAGAAACTTTAAGAAATTCAACTTTTAGAATTTTTTTCCAGTCATTTTTGAGAGTTTTTTTTACTCAAATAATACTATTTTTTAAAAAAATTACCCAAATAGTAACTGTACAAATTTATTTCCCCAACTAGCACCATTTACTGTTCACGTTTAGAACGGACCGTTCTAATTTCAGAACGGGTCGTTCCAGATTCAAAATTAGCACATAAAAAGTGAAACCAGAACGAACGGGCCGTTCTAGCCTATAAATAATTTTTTTTTGTTCGATTTTCACTTATCAAATACCAAAACTTAGAAACTAACATCAAATAATTAAATTTATTGAATATTAACATTATAAATATAATTAAAAAAAATTATTAAAATTCAATACAACAATAAAGATAAATGGTGACGAAAAATGAATCCATGCGAGTAAGGGATATGAACTTTTTGGAACTTGCCGCAATCACACCACATTACATTTAGCCTTACTGTAAATCTCCCAGCGGGTCATGCGAGCAAGGGATATGAACTTTCTGGAATTTGCTGCAATCATACCACATTTCATTTAGCCTTACTATAAATCTCCCAGCGGGTCAAACTTCTCTCGGATGTTGCGTTTCTTCCAACTTTGACGCCAAATCCAGAACTCAAGAGAACTTTCAAGGGTCGGCCAAAATCCAGTAGGATTAGAACAAAGATGGACATTAATTAGAGAGCAACATAATCGTGTAAAAAATTGTTCTTATTGTCACACCCCTGGTCATACTAGGAAGACACATCCAAATATTGGTCATGAATTCAATTTCCGCCACCATTGATATTTATTGTTGTAATGAATTTTAATAAATTTATTTAGTTATATTTATAATGTTAATATTCAATAAATTTAATCACTTGATGGTAGTATCTGAGTTTTGGTATTTGATAAGTGAAAATTGGAAAAAAATGGTCTGAGTCTATAGGCCAGAACGGCCCGTTCCGGAACCAGAATGACCCGTTCTGGTTTCACTTTTCATGTGCTAATTTTGAATTTAGAACGACCTGTTCTAATCCATTCACCATGTGTTATGTTTTAATCTGGAACGACCCGTTCTGAAATCAGAACGGTCCGTTCTAAACTTGAACAGTAAATGGTACTAGTTGGAGAAATAAATTTGCACAATTGTTATTTGGGTAATTTTTTTTTAAAATAGTATTATTTAAGTAAAAAATTCCATTTATGAACCAATTTTAAATTTTTATTAAAAGCGATAATTTCACTACAATGAAAGAAAATAAATTATAAAAAAAAATACACAATAAGTTAATATTAAAAATAAAATAAAGCAATAGTAAATACATAGATATTATACGAAATTAATTTTTATCATTATTATTTCTAAAACGTTTCCAAATATGTTTAATAAGATCTGCTTGAAATCTGGTAAGGAACGGTTGTTTGAGGAAACAACTCTTTCTCTTCTTCAAGCAATTTATATTGTCACGTCAGAGTTCTTCAATGATAAAAAACCGGAGCTTGAGTTGCTTTAATGGGACAAACAATTCTTATTGGAATTGCTCTAAGGTGCACTCTCAACACAATGTTATTATAATTATTTTCATTTTCTCTTCCCAAATCGTCACCTCCGTCCATGACTACCAATGAAGTGTCACCGCGGACCACCTTAACGTTGTCGTCGACTTCTAGAACATCGTCATCTATCTCTGATTTTGCTGCTCCATTTCACTTCCCTAGAGAAAGAAGAATGCCTTCATTGTATAAAATTCACACTCCACTCATTGCGATAAATTTGAACTCATGAGCCGCCGCATCATGGAAGATTTGCACTCATACACGTCTGGATGCGCTCACGAGTCTTCGTTGTGACAAACCCCTGCTCCACTATGAGGCCCTTGTAGTCACTCAAAAAATATTCTTATAATATCTTATCAAACAAAAATTATATAATTAATTAGTCAATTACGTATAAAATTTAGCAATCTATGTTTACTCAACTAATGGATTACTACTTTCTGACTCAATCAATAGAGGAGAGATTTATTTACTCTATGAATAAATTTATCTAAATTTATTTTGTTTAATAACTCATATTTTATATCAAATTTTAACGATCTAATCGTTCAATTTAAAGTTCTTAATATATGTATTAAATCTGCAAATTTTTAAAAAATTAAAAAATTATTTGATACTTCATTTTATTAATTCAAATCAATGTAAAATAATTTTTGTGATTATCTGTCAATTTAAATTAATAAAATAAAGTATCAAATGATTTTTAAATTTTTTAAAAATTTGAAGATTTGATCTATGCATTAAGAACTTTAAATTGAATGGCTAAATCGTTGAAATTTGATGTAGAACAGGAGTTATTAAACAAAGTAAATTTAGGTAGACTTACTCATGAAATAAACGGATCATTCCTTATATATATATATATATATATATATATATATATATATATATATATATATATATATGTCAATTTCTTATTTTAATGTACATATTATTTTTTTACAATTTTAAACTTTTATAAAAATTTCACAATAATAATTAATAAAGGTCACAGTTTTTAATATAAAAATTTTATCTTTAAACTATTATTGAAATACAATAACTACAAAGTACACACTGCCTAACTAACATGTGTGCATTTAAAAGTTTTATGTAAAAGTTTTTTTTTCTAGACATGAAGTATCTTCTTTAACATTAATTTAATTAAAACTAATTTATTGTAGTTAATTATCTTAGTTGCGTAACAGTTAATTCACCACGTTTTCTTTAATTCATGCAATTTGTTTACTATCATTTTTATATTTGATTTTTTAATTGATTATCTAAATAAAAAAAATTACTTTAACATAGAATATCTATAAAAAAAAAGAATTTTGATCTTTAAAATGATTATCCGGTCATAAGTCTTTTGAATTTGAAATTATTTTTAATTATAACTTTTTAATTAATTAATATCAAATTCTTATATATTAAACATCAACTTAGCGTGAGAAAATTTATAAAAGGTTTTCTTGGACAAGAAGACTTTTTTAGAATTTTTGTATTTCTTATTTAATTTAATTTTTATTTATCATAATAATTTATTAATTAAATTTTAATATTTTAAAATAAATTATAAGTAAATAAAAATAATTTTGTACTATAATATAAATTATTTATTATAAGTATAAAATATAACTTATTTATTTGTTATACAAATTATAAATATAATCTTTATATTCAAACAATTTTTTATTTGAATATATAACTTATTATAAATTTTAGTTATATTTAATGAATATTTAACTCATATATTATATAGACTAAAATACTAGTTAATATTAAATATAAGAATATTCAAGTTATAATTAAATGTTTTATCTATTATATTTAATTTTAAATATTTTTAATATTTAATTTGTATTTATAAATATTATAAAAATATGGTTTTTTCTAATATATAATGTTAAAGATAATTTATTTCCGTATTTAAAATAATTAATTAACAAGTTACATATCAAAATCAACAATTACTCATCATTTAGTTGTTTTTTTTATTAACAAGAATTCAGATGATGACAATATGGATCCAACTTAAAATAATGTGTATTTTACTCTTATCTCCACTTAATCTAATTCTTATTATTGATTATAAACTAATAATTAATTATAATTCAACTAATTATATACATTTAATTATTTTAGTAATTTAATTACCATATAAAATATATTTAAATAAAATTATCATATATTTAATTAATTATCCAAATAGGCAAATATAAGATTAAATAAAGGTTACTTCACCATATTGTCTTTAATTCACTACAACAACATGAACTTTTAATAGTAATAAAAATTACTGTAAAATCTTATACCGACATTTATTTTGCATGCTAATAAAGACCCTTATAATGCTCAGGAATAGTAAATAATTTTTTGTGGCATTTTTTTTACTGGTATTTAATATTTTTTTTGCTATTATCACATAATACTCTTGTGGGACTTGTAAGATGAGGGTTATCTTTTATTTATATATTCTTTAATTTTCTCATTTTTTTAATTGTCTTATTTTATAATTAATTATTTTGTAGGTCTAACTTAACCATACAAAACAAACTTGTAAAGTGAGAGTTATTATCCACTTATATATTCTTTAATTATCTTATTTCTAGTCGATGTGAGACTTATGTTTTTTCCAATTAATAAATAATTATCGCTAATAATAAATTTTGGTGTGATGTAAATAAATTTTATTGGTCATTATATATTAATCATTAATATTTTTATTAAATAATAAAATAGAGATAATTAATTTATTACCATTAAGTAATTGTTAGTGAGAATTTTTAAATAAAAAATTAAAATTTGAGAAATTTGATGCAGACTATTTTTTTTCCTAGTATTTAAGATTTTTTAATTGATTATCTAAATAAAAATTTACTTTACTGTACAATATCTATCGAAATAACAAAAGTAAAAGAATGTTGAACTTTGGATTGTTTATCTGGTCATGTTAATTTTAAATTATTACTAATTTTTAATTACATTAAATATTAGAATATGTATTCAAGTCACAATTAAATGTTTTATCAATTAAAAATAATTTTAAATAATCTTTAAATATATATACATATATATATATATTTTTTTTCTTCATATTTTATTTGTATTTGTAAATATTATAAAAAATGTTTTTTCTAATGTATATTATTAAACATGATTTATTTCCATATTCAGAATAAACAATTAATTACAAATTACACATAAAAATCAACAATTACCATTAAATTGTTAATTTTTGTTATTAGTAAGAATTACAAATTTATTAATTTATAATTGATTAATTTTAATTTAATAACTTAATACATTTAGTTGTTTTAGTTACATAAAAATCAAATTACATTAGTGCACAGATTTGGATTGGTGTGAGAAGCGAGGGACTCACATTGCTTAACTAAGTGATTATGTATTAAATCTTGACTCTTGCAAATGCATAAAATTCAAGTTAGGAATACTTACTCAATGTCTGACGAACGTCTGAGAGAAATTAACCTTTGTATTCAATGGAGAGGAACTTTTTATATTGACACTCAGTGTTAAACAAATTTTCAAAGGAGATTAATCTCCGTGTTTAACGAAGAGAAATTCCTTGACAATAAAAAAAATTACATTAGTGCACATAATTTAATTAATTATCCAAATACATATATGATTATAATTTGACACAGGAATCAATGGAGTATGACTTAGTTCATTGAGTAGAGTATGTAAGAATTATAACTTATAAATCCCATTCCTTATACTAGACTTTTTGACCAAATTAAAGTGAGGTTGTTTTAAAAGTTTATTATGTAAATGAGGTTGTTTTGAAATTATTTACGCCTTTGGGGCTGTTTATAACGGTGTCGCTATGGCCCATAGCGACACCGATGACACGTGACATTTTTTTTTTGGTCTTGGTTGGCTGGAATGAGCCACATGAGTGTCATTTTTATTATTTAAATTATTAACTTAATTTGTTTTTTACATTTGAATTTATTTTTTTTAAGCCGTTTGGTGGCGCTATGGGCTATAGGGACTTTATTTAAGCCGTTTAGTGGCGCTATGGGCTGTAGCGACTTTATCTATATGGCTTTCATGGCTTCCCTGAAGTGAAAAAAATACCACGTGTCACCGGTGTCGCTATGGACTATAGTGACACCGTTATAAACAACCCAAAAAGCGTAAATACTTCAAAAACAGCCCCATTTACGTAATAAAGTTTTAAAAGAACCCCACTTTGATAAAAAGCCCTTATACTAAGTTTGATTTTCATGTGATAGAAAAAATTGTCACAAACTATTATGGAGTATAACTCAATTTGTTGAGTAGAGCGTGTGAGTATTATAAACCTCGATCCTTAGTATCAAGTTTGAATAATATAATAAAAAATTGCCAATAACTATTAATTAAAAATATAAAAAATCAATGGATTGTTTAATAATTGAGCAATTTGTAGTCATACATTAAGGGCACGATAAATTTGACAAAGAATCTCATGTTTAATTTTTATTGTGTGAAAATTTTTGGACCACCCACAGTCACATCGCTGTACCATGATTGAGAGTGTTAACCTAGCAAATCAAAGATACTTGTAACGAGGCATAAAACAATATTTAAAAGAAAAAATAATATATTAAGATTTTTTTTATTGAATATTGAATAAAAATATTTTAATTACTTTTAAAATTAGTTAGTACTCAAAATTTATAATTAATGTTATATATATATATATATATTTAAATCATAATTAATTTCATCATCAATTAATTTTTACAAATTTGTAAATTAAAAGTTTCGAAGGACTATACATTTTAGAATTAATTAATATTTTCATTATCAATAAACTAAAATTTTAAATACTATTTAAATATATATGTATTTTCAAATACTTATAAATAAGAGAAACAAGAGAAATGTATTCATACAGCACTTCTATTCTTTGTAATCTAGAAACCCTTTCACAGATAACATGGCCTCATCATTACCCTCTCTGGTTGTAGTGAGGAGGTGCCAACCTGAGCTGGTAACTCCTGTTATACCCACTCCTAATGAACTTAAACCACTATCCGATTTAGATGATAGATACAGCTTGCGTGTCCACGTCCCAGTGATACAAATTTATCGTAACGAACCATTAATGGAACAGACAGACCCAGTTGAAGTGATTCGGAGGGCACTGGCAAAAACACTTGTCTTCTATTACCCATTTGCGGGTAGGCTTAGGGAGGGTCCTGGTCACAAATTGATGGTGGATTGTACAGGTGAGGGAATCTTGTTCATTGAGGCTGACGCAGACATAACACTTGATCAGTTTGGTGACACTCTTCAACCTCCATTCCCATGCTTCCAAGAACTTCAAATTTTCATTGTTCTTCGATTTTTAAAATAATAATTTTTCAGTCTATTTTTTAAAATTATTTCTTAAAGTTGGTATATTTTTTAAATCACAACACACATGATATGTATGATATATTTGTAGTTAAAATTGAGTAAGTGATTAAATTTTATTCAATTGTTAATTTGTTAGCACCTGTATTAATAATTTGTTATCTATTAATAATATATAAATAATGTTATTTTTTTTGTCATGTTATTGGTACGAAATATTCACCATTGAAAAGAGTAACTAACCTCAATTAGGGACCCTCCCAACACAATCTATTCCACACCCAAAGTCAAGATTCAAATCCTGAACATCTTGATTAAGAGACATAAATCATTATTATTTGTGTCAATTAATATTGATAATGATATTATTTTATATAAATATTATATATATCACTTAGATAAATAAATAAAAGAAATTAATATTCACTTAAAAATTAAAAAAAAAACATATCATTTAAACAAATCTCATAGACATGAGTGCAATTTTTTCAAAATTTTAGAAATATTTGCTAATTTGCTAATTGCATAACAAATCATTACATGTACCATCAACAATGAAAATGACTGGTTAAAAATAATTTAAAAACCAGCAGTCAATTTATATGATTAATTAGTTTGTTAATATTCTATTATAATAATTATTATTTATTTTTCCTTCTTTTCTTTGGCTTCTGTTGTACATAAACAATAAATAGTGGTTTTCATATTGTTAAGATATACACAGATAAAAAATGAATGTACGTCACTCCTTTATAATTTTGATCTTATTAATTTGTTGATGTTTGATGTTAAATGATGAAAGGTGACACGTCTTAAGTGTGGTGGTTTCATCCTGGCCTTCCACTTCAACCACGTGATAACTGATGGGGCTGGTATTGCACAATTCATGAGAGCGTGGGCTGAAATGGCTCGAGGTGCATCCGAACCTTCCATTCCACCCGTGTGGCATAGGGAGCTCCTAATGGCAAGGGATCCACCTCGCATTACATGCAACCATCCTGGATACGAAATGCAACTCCAAAACACCAAGGAAGGGACCATCACTTCATACGACAACAACAAGGTTCTTCGATCCTTCTTCTTTGGACCCACTCAGATAGCTGCCCTTCGTCGCTTGCTTCCCCATCACCTTCAGCATTGCTCCACATTTGATGTCATCGCAGCGTGCTTTTGGCTTTGCCGCACAAAAGCATTGCAAATAGAGGCACATGAGGACGTTCAAATTAAGTGTTCTGTCAATGCACGTGCTAGGTTCAATCCTCCGTTACCTGTTGGTTATTATGGTAACGCTGCTGCAACCCCCGCAGCAGTCACCACTGCAGGGAAGCTTTGTGAAAATCCATTTGGTTATGCTGTCGAGTTAATAAATAATGTGAAATGTGAGATCACAGAAGAGTATATGCATTCTCTGGCAGATTTAATTGCGATTAAGGGACGATACTCGTTGACAAATGAAAGGACGTCTTGTTTTGTTTCAGACTTAAGACGCTTTAGTTTTAGAAAAACTAATTTTGGGTGGGGCGATGCTGTGTATGGTGGACCGGCCAAGGGTGGGGGTGGGCTCTTAGCAACCACTCTTATCCCCTATAAGAATGCAAAAGGAGAAGAAGGTATATTATTACCAATTTGGTTACCCTTCGAAGCTATGAACATATTTGCCAAAGAACTGAACATGCTTCAGAACCAAAACCATCCTAATGGAAGTGGCCCTCATTTTGTCATGTCTAACATATAGTTTGTACTACTCTTTTGAAACTCTTGATAAAATGGAAGGGTGAAGAAATAAGAGTTTATTTTGTTATATTATACAAATTTATTTTAGAAAAAAAAAATCTATAATCTAGTTAATTCATTCAATTCTAAGGCTTCTTATTCATAATTGTTTCTTTAATAATTTTTTCTATTAATCCTTAAGGTTCCCTCGCGAACCCACAAGCACTCACAAATTCACAAATATAGGTAATTATAGGGATCAAAAGTACAATCACAATTTACTAATGCATTCAGAATACAAGGAAATTCACAAATGATACAAATTTACAAATAGAAACCATATCATAAATGTAATTATATCATAACAACACAATTATAAGACAAGGGAGTGAAAGATTCACAGTAAGAAGTAAGGTTCTTACTCCCTCAATCTTTATCTCGATAAACGCCAAATGTTGGGTGTGGATCTTTGAACTCATTTTCAACTGTCTCGGGTTCTCCCTCCTTAATGAGAAACATGAAGATGAAAACCCCCAAAAGTATAGCTTTTATTACTACAAATTTTTTCTTCCATTCCAAATATTTTTTAGACGATTTAGCAGTTGAAAAAAAAAAAGAATAACGTACTTTGAACCAATTGTCCAAAATTCAGCATCATTTAATGAAGAACAAATCTCTGGTTATAATTCAAAAATTGTTGCCTAGTAAATATGTGAATTAAACAAATCTCTTATGTTTTGTTATTGTTCTTTCTCAATGATGAGTCATTCTCTCCTCTATAAAGTACAAGGATGCATATTAATTATGAGAGGCAACCATAGATTGTTAATCTATAAATAGGGAATTTTAAACCCTAACTCTCGTATAACTCATCGGTAAAAGCCCGTTAACCATCATTAGTTACTCTTCTAAAAAAATTCAAATAATTATCTATAATAATTAAACTAGAAAATATTTCTTCTTATCAATAACTCTTATTATAAAAAATAACCCCAATTAATTATTTAAAACTCTTATAGATAAATACACAAGATCATATTTTTTTAAATAAAATAATTTCAAAAACTTTATTTTTTTTATCTAAAAACATTCTTATCGATAAAATATCTCAATTAATTAAAATCACAATATATAATCAAAATGAATAATATATACATATATATATATATATATATATAATTAATTTGAACAAACCTTTCTTTAATTAATAAAAAAACTCTCATATTTGTTAAAAAAGCCTTTAATATATTTATAAAATCTATTTAATTAATTAAAATATTATTTTAATAATTTTAGAAAATTTATTTACCGAGAGAGCATCATTAAATGTAGATATTTCCTTGATTCCTAGACCCCATTGTTTTTTAGTCTACATACATTCTCCGAGCTTACCCATGAAATTTTCTCTTTTCCAACCTCACCACACCATAAGAACCTTCTCTATATCATAACAATCTTCTTAATCACTTGTTTAGGCATCTTTGAAAAAGATAAGAAGAACAGGGATAACGATGTTAGCATCAAATTTATAGGACATATCCTCATCGCCAAAGGTAGAATCTTGTGCTTCCAATAGTTTTTTTTTTGAACAGCAAAAGAATTTTATTAATTTGGTACAAGAGGTACCATAAACTCATCTATAATAGAAAAAGAGATAAACAACTTAAATTAAACTTGTAATACCCTCCTTTTCATTCAGTGATGCTAATGTGGGAGGTCAAATAGCAACTGGAATAATATTCTACAATAAAATGTTAATTAGTCTTGCATAAATATTAGCTGCAGGGCATATATTCAGTCTCCAACATTCAACAACCTTCACATATATAACAGCATCATGGAGCCTATCATTTTCACATTCTACTCATGCCAACAAGATGCTTCTCCACATTAATTTCCTCGTTTCCTTTCTCTTATCCACTTCCAATGACATAGTACATACACAATACTTTTGAGTGGCAAACCTCTGGTGAGCAGATGATCCTGCCACATCCCACCTCTATTCCATTCTACTCATGCCAACAAGATGCTTCTCCACATTAATTTCCTCGTTTCCTTTCTCTTATCCACTTCCAATGACATAGTACATACACAATACTTTTGAGTGGCAAACCTCTGGTGACCCTGCCACATCCCACTTTTGTTCCTGAATGAGTCATTCCAATAGTTGATAATTTCTTCTTAAACTTACATATTATTATGGCCTCCAAGTCTCCTCCTTTCTTAGATTAGCACTGATAGGGATCTCTAAATATGTAAAAGGTAATTTGAGCAGTCTACAATGTAGCAAACTGGCATAGCTCACCAAGATATTTGGTTCCATCCCTAATGCACCAAATCTTCTCTACAAAAAATTGACTGAGGTCCGAAACTAACTCAAAACACCTTAAAATACTCTTCATTACTATGACATATATTATCAAGTTTAGCCTTACTCAAAAACATTGTGTCATCTACATATTGTAAAATACTGATTAACTATCTCTTTATTCCTCCTAACTAAGTAGCCTTCAAACAGTTTTTTTGGAGACTGTAGACCTCATCAAATCGATTAACCCTTCTGCAACAATAGTAAACAAGAAAGGTGTTAAGGGACCATCTATCTAAGTCGTTTTTGTACCTTGAATTCCCCGGTAGGACTACCATTAACTATAGTACAAAAACCTGACTTGTCTCTAAACATATCTTAATCCACCCTACCCTTTTGCTACAAAACCCCAGCCTTCGTCACATATAAAGCAGAAATTTCCAACATATAGGGTCATATTGTTTTTCATAAGCAACCTTGAAGAACAAATAACTCTTCTTTTTTTCCTCTTTGCCTCATCAATAACCTCATTTGCAACAACCACATTTTGTAGGAGGTTCCTAACATCCAAGTAGGCACTCTGTTTGTGATCAATAACAATTTGTAGTACCTTCTTCAACTTATTTGCTAGAACTTTAGCCAGTATGTTATGCATATAACCTACTAGCGATTTAGGCCTAAAGCCCCCTATGTCTATGGGTCATCGACCTTTTTGATAAAAGTAATACATGAGGAATTAGTCCCTTTTATTTTGTGCTGATTTATGCGCATCACCTCCCAAATCACCTACTCTTGATGCTCCAAGATTCTTAGATGATACGAGGTCTATTTTCAAACCCCAGATCAGTGGTGCCAAACATATCTCTTGCATGGCAGGTGGTATTTTACATCTTTGGGTTCTGAAAGTAACTGGACCAAACTATGGTTTCCTTTAGAACCCAACATAGGCCTTGCGGGCACGGTTCTTATATCTTACTCGTCCACTCCCTTCGATGAATGGGTTAAGCTTTTGATTAGGGTTGTCTTGACAGACCCATTAAAACATGAAAGCTACTTCATTTATTTATTATTTTAATCTGAATATAATAATTAAGTTACTTCATTTATTTTAATCTGAATATAATGGTGGATAGGTTGGGTTACAACTGTTATTATGAGAACATGAGATGATTCTAATATGTTAAAAACTGATGTTTCCTTATCAATGGAGATATTTACAATCTTAGCAAAGCTTTCTCGAATTTATAGGTGAATTGGAATTCCAGAATACCATCTCAGATGAGCCTATTTCCTGTTATAACTTTTGAGACTACTAGAAAAATACTATTTAATGTCATCATATTTATATCGATTTCAATAAAAATAATGTAGAAAAAAATGTAATAATATTTTTGTAATTAAATAAAAAAATTAATACATATTTACATTCATTTTATTAAGAAACAATGTAAATATAAAGTATTTTACATTGATTTTACTAGGTAGAATTAAAAGCCCAAAAGTATTTTATAATGATTTTGTTAGTAACTGATGTAGAATTAAAAGTCCTGCCCCTTTTCATGTCTATCTCACTTGTTTACAGCCATCTTTGGTATGGATATATGTCCGAGAATGAAGCATTTGTTGGTGGCATGAGTAGTTATGCTAATATGGTGAAATGTTGTAGTTTATGGGTGACTAGACTAGCAGGTGAGCCGATTCTTTCTTGTGGGGACTTCTCCAACTCTCATGTCAGAAACACGCTGATCGAGACCAAACCCTCTTTGATTAATCATCAACTGACGATCCAGGAAACACACCGTTGATTGTATTCTCAAGCCCTCTTTGACTGATGACAATCACTGCCAAAACCCTATTCGACAGACGATGATCTAGGAAGCGCATTGTTTTCCTCGTGTTCAAGCCCTCTTCGATGGATGACAAATTAAACTCAGTGAAGTCCTTTGTTGTGAGAATTTGAGACTTTGCCCTATAAGGTGAATCCACATAATGGTTATATATATTGACTATGATAAACTTGAGGAGAAAGCTTTGGATTTTAGGCCCAAGATACTTATTTGTGGAGGAATTCGTACCCCAAGGAGTGAGATTATGTCGGGTTTAGGCATGTTGCTGATTAGTGTGGAGTTGCGTTGATGTGTGACATGGATCTTGTGACAGCTAAGGTGCTTGCTCTCTTGTTCAGTTGTTCCTGTCTAAATTATTTTAACGATTTTATAATTATTTATGCTTTTTTAACATCAATGAAGCTTTGATTTAGGTTTCTTTGGAAGGTAGATTTTAGAGGTACTTGTATTGTATGGTTTATAACTAGCATGATAGAGTTGTGTAGAATAGTTGTCTTGATGTGAATTGACATTTTCAAGTTTAAGTTTGTTGGAATAAACTTTTCTATGATTATTTATAGGAGAAGAAAATAAGAAAGTAAAAAAAAATTAAACTTTTCTCATTAGTTATGATTTCAATAACATATGTGTACGTAAGTTGATTTTCATTTATAAAAGATGTATAACATATGGTCTATTGGAGATAAGGATAGAAATTCTTGTATAGTTCTAGAGATTGGAAAAAATCAAAAACAAATTGCCTCCTCTTTCTTTATTTTTCCCTAGCCTACCTTAAATTTTCAAATGCTTGAATTTTCATGAAATTATCTTTTGAATGGAAACTCTGCATGAAATTGTCAAATTGTTTTCTTTTTTCATTAACCACCTCTGTGA